ATGCTTTGAAATCTAATAAATTTGAACAACACCAGCTGTTCAGAGAACCCGTCTGTTACCATCATATTACTGGACATCTGAAAGTATTCTAGCTGCAAGTATGTTGCCAGTTGCATTCTAGATGGAAACCCTTATGATGAATTCTATAGTAGTGACTGCTGTTTCCATGCATTCATACTGCTTTGGTCTGTGCACTCGGGCAGTACCACAGACCACACACAAACCAAGTGATGTGTGGTGCATATGTATTCGGTGACCTATTGTATCGATATTTATGTGTTCAAATAAATGAAAAAATGAGTAGAGTATGAACAATATGAGCATACTAAGATAATGGCATAAGCAGGAGGACAGTTGCCGAACCTTTGAAATAAAAGATATGTTAAATAGTTTATCTATAATGGTTCATTTGGATGTTTCTTGTCAATTATATGTTCTCGATTAAATATTATAGGACCGGAGTCAAACAAGGCTGTTTACTCTCTCCATTCATTTTTCTTCTGGTGGTCGACTGGATTATGAAGACCTCGACATCTGAAGGAAAACATGGAGTACAATGGATAGCTCAAAATCAATTAGACGATTTGGACTTCGCAGATGATCTAGCCCTCCTATCGCATACACACGACCAGATGCAGACAAAGACAGCCAGTGTGGCAGCAGTCTCTGCATCAGTAGGCCTCAGCATACACAAAGGGAAAACCAAGATCCCGAAATTCAAAGCGAAGAACAGCAATCCAATCACTCTTGATGGTGAAACTCTGGAAGATGTAGAGTCCTTCACATACCTAAGAAGCATCATCGATGAACATGGAGGCTCAGATACAGACGTAAATGCAAGGATTGGTAGAGCAAGGGTCGCATTTCTACAATTGAAGAACATATGGAACTGAAAACAACTTTCAACCAATGTCAAAGTCACAATCCTCAATACCAACGTCAAGGCAGTTCTACTATACGGAACCGAAACTTGGAGAACTACAACAACCATCGTCAAGAAGGTACAAGTATTTATAAATAGCTGTCTTCGCAAGATACTCAACATCCATTGGCCGGATACCTTCAGCAACAGCCTTCTCTGAGATAGAACAAACTAGCTTCTAGCTGAAGAAGAAATTAGGAAAACACGATGGAAATGGATAGGACATACATTGAAGAAATCACCAAACTGCACCACGAGGCAAGCCCCAACTTGGAATCCTGAAGGGAAGCGGAAAAGAGGAAGGTCAAAGAACACATTACGTCGGGAAATAGAAGCAGATATGAAAAGGATGAATAGGAACTGGAAAGGATTGCCCAGGACAGGGTTGGATGGAGAATGCTGGTGAGCGGCCATTGAGAAACCGTAATTGATGTATTTCAAGGAACACGGTTTTTATTAATGTCAGTAAATGATCATCTTATTGCAAATATAGAGCATTTATATCCAACACTAGTCTTACAATGTTCATTACAAGATCAGATAGATCTAGTTTTCAACTAATATAGAGATTGTGATTCATACCATTCAATAGTCACAAACAAAAACCTATGTTCTTCACCTGAATCTTAACCATCGTCCAAAACTATGTTCGAACTGATTATAATTTGTACCAGAAGGGGTTTTGTGGAGATTGTAGTAATTTTAATAGTTGAGATCATGAGTCAATTGAAGCTAGACCACCATGTTAAACCTGGAAGCACTAGATGGCCGTTTCGTCCTATTGTGATTAAGCACCTGGCACGAGACTGATAGGTCCTCGGTTCGACTACCGCGTTGAGCGGAATCGTAGATGCGCACTTCTGAGGAGTCCCACAATAGTATGAAACGGCCATCCAGTGCTTCCAGGTTTTTCATAGTGGTCTAGCATCAATTGACTCATGTTCCTAACTATTGTGTTTATAATTTACTAACATTCACAAGTTGATAATCGATCACAAACAAAACATATTCTAATTCAGACATTTTATGAACATTCCAAACGAGAAAAAAACTAACAGACTGAAAAGAAATTACGGAGAAACATTTCCGTGCTTCATGAATTTTTCGATTTTATCATCCAAAAAAAAATTAAAATGTTTTAACAAACATTCATTGTACATTTTTTTTTCAAAACCATTTATAATTATATAACTGATTTTATCGTGAATGTGAATGATCGGACACTGTCCAGAGAATTTTTATCAGAAGAGGTTTTGTGGAGATTTTAGAAATTTCGTTTATTGGAATCATGAGTCAAATCATGAAGACAATGGTGTACGGTGGCGCAACCACGGGGAATGGTTGAAGTTAGACATCAACACCGTTAGATGACACCCAGTTCAGTGGTCTAGTTGGTTAAGCGCCTGGCGTAAGACGGATAGATCCTAGGTTAGAATCTCGCAGGCTGCGGGATCGTGGATGCGCACTGCCGAGTAGTCCCATACGAGGGCGAAACGGCCGTCCTGTGCTTCCAGGTTTTCCATGGTGGTCTAGCTTCAATTGACTCATGATTTCAATCAGCAAAGAATTTCTGTTCGTTTGGGTAAAACAAAAAAGGACACTGAAATAATATTAAATCTTATTCTCATGAACATATTCAAATATATAGGTTGTGAAAATCTTACTTATACATATTGCCTCCTACTGAAAACGAGAGTTCAATAAAATAATGATTTTGATATATTTCTCCATCGATCATAATTCGAACTGAGGTTTTTCTTTACATATTGAGGCTTTCTGTAAAGGTTATTAAATATTAAAAAAAACACAATGAACAAATTTCAGATTTGATAATAATGTTTCTGAGATGGTGGAGAAGATTTGTAGCTAAGGTGGATGATTTTAATCGAGTTTTGTTCTCTGAGCTGGATGGTTTGGTCTCGGAGTATTCATCATTCGTCTGAACAAACATCATCAGCACAAATTTCAAGTAGAAGTGAAGTGTTTGAAATTCTCCACATGTTGTTTACAGCTTTTCCTGTACACCTTAAAGTTGATGAGAGATACAACCATAACAAAGAAGTAAACAATGACAATTTAAAGGTCAACATTATACAATCAACATCGAGGTGTACAGAACATGTTGTGAACCACATGTGGAGAAATTTGAACACCTCATTTCTATTTGAAGTTTGTGATGATGATAATGTTCAGAAGAACGACGAAATATCCACAACCAAACCAAGTAAAAAAACGCCAGTTTCATTTTAAGGAATCAAGCTTTCATTATCTGAAACGATTGTAAGTAATAAAGTACCTTCGGTATTTTTAAAACATACTACCCGTATACTTTATATGACCAAATAAATGAAATAACTTTTGTTTTAAAAATATTTTCGAACATACCGCATATTTCATCTTTCCATCAGCTAAGAAAAAACAGTGTTATTTATGTTTCTATGATCATACTTTAATATATTTCTTTAAGAAACTTTAACATTTTCCAATACATACTGAATGACCACCATCCAAAAGTTTCCTTTTGATATTTTATATAAATATGATTGAAATCGGTATTTTATTCTTAGTGAGCTTACCAAAACTATCATAGGTTATAAATACATTATCAGTATCAATTACTGGTGACATTATTATTTACATGGATGCGATTATCTCTTTTGAAAACGTTTTGTTTTTGTTAACATGAGGTTTAACCATGAATAATAATATTTTATATCCTTACCAAATATTTTGTTTTTTTGTCCTAGGAAGTATAAAAGCTTTATGAAACAACAGGTCAGTAGTTTATAATCGCCAAACATAATTTAATGTCTACGAATTTAGTTTGATAATCTAAAGTTCTATTTTAAGTGTTACTATTCGATATATCATCTAGAAGTATGTTTGAAGATACTGCGTGATCATTCCATCACTAGTTTCATGCATGATGGTAAATCAGTTGATGAGGTTGTGAATCTTCATCAACTGAGATGATCGGGCCACGTATTACGTATGCCTGAACACTGATTACCACGACGCGCAATGTTGACTAGTGTTGGGGACGGTTGGAAGAAAGTTAGGGGATGCCAAACCAAAACGTGGCATCAGTGCTTGAAATCACTAACTTGTAGTCTGACCCATGTTGTTAGATGCAGACTACTTGGTTGGGGTCCACGCAACGATCGTAATCAATGGTTGGAGACTCTTGGTAACATGGCTCAGAATCTATCACAATGGCGTCGGTGTATGCACTTTATCTTCCCTTAAACTAAGAGATTAAAATTGCTTCATATATTTCTTTCTACGGACTAATTCTTTCTTCCTGTACTATCTCCTTGTATGCAGTCTTTCCTTTATATATTACCACCATTGAATTAACTACTTCTAAGAATTTGATGTTCACCTTGTTGTGCTAATGCGGTATGGCAACTCGGGCGGATGCATATATGTACCTGGTATTACGTTGTAACTGACTAACTGACTGACGACTTTCTTGCATCTCGTTTTAACCTTTTTAATGTAATCATTATTGCAACTTAAATCGAAGGTAGTGGTATCTAGTCATGGAACAAATTATCTAAGAAGGAGTGTGATACCGTTTAAATTTGCTAATAAATGGCCACAAAACACTAAAAAATTAAAACTATGAAAGTTTTCATTTATTCACCTACAATATCTTAACATCAAAATAATTATTTTTGATATATGCCCTTTTATGTACTGATAGTATCAAATACATTATTTCAAAATAAGATGATGGTTGGACCTAGGCAACAGGAAACCCTGAACCTTGATTTCATGCTACTTGGCACTCGTCAGCAAGATATACCTGTAGTCTTGAAGGAACTGATGGTCCGTGATGAATTCGATTCCGTGTCACCCAGCTTCACAATTAGAGAAGTTACCACTGAAAACGATGCGTTACAATATTATTTTTTTACTTTTTTTGACTATCAAAATGTGTTCATTATGGAGAAGAGAGAATGCGTGACCATACATAAAATTATCGTATAAGATCAAATCTAATTTCATGATATATTTTTTATATTATTGTATTTTCAAAATTCCAATACCTACAATCTTTTGGAACTATTATTAGGTGATGCCTTGATGTTTTGGCAACTATACTCAGAAAACAATTTAAATTAACCAGACAAAAAATATTTTCACAATGAACATTAATGAAGCAGACTCAAATTATCAATTATTTTATGGTTTCAATGATCCAGAAGGACAAAATATAGCACTATCCGCTACTAGTATGATTAAACCAATTCCAAATGAGAAAGAATTGTTTCTTTTTGATAAAACATCACGTACAACTGGATATGGTGGATTAGTCTCTGCGAGACAATTACATTTTATCTGTGGACCTTATCCAGAGTCAATAATTGATGAAAATGTAATATTTGATAAGATTATACAAACGATTATTTTGCCCATCTTATTAATTTTGTTGATTTTATTCAACAGTTTATCACTTGCTGTTTTAACTAGACCTACTATGAAAACACCTGTGTTTACCGTATTACTAAGTATTACAATGGTAGAAATGTCCAATGGATTATTACCTTTACCAATGTATTTACTCAGAGCATTTTATAGTGATCCTGTTTGGTGGGAGTATAAAAAATATGCATCATATAATTTAACACAAATTTCAAAATGGTGGAAATATGCTCCATTAGAAATTTATCAAACAAGTTCAAATCCTACAGCAAGTAGTATACTTGCATGGACTACAGTATTTTTACCAACTGTTTGTCATACAACAGCTACATGGTTAACATTATTTGTTGCATTACAACGACTTATTTATATTACATATCCTAATAAAGCTACAAAATTATTTTCTATACTTATAGTACGTTTAGTTTGTATTAGTGTATTATTATGTGCATTAATTTTACATATTCCAATGTTTCAATCAAATTTTGTCAGATTTCAACCATTTCTTCTACATCAAAATGTTACTTTTAGAAATTATTCAATTGATTTTAAACAATTATTATTATATGAAGCATTAGATTATTTACCATATGTTGTCATGAAATGTCATACATGTTTACCTATTCATATGTTTTTATATTTTTTAACTCGTGTTATACTTGTACATTTATTACCATGTATATTATTAATTATATTAACTATTATAATCATTATGAGAATGAGACAAATCAATCGAAAGCATTTATGGCTTACACGTGGTAAATTATTATTACAATATACTAAAACATTATCTACATATAAACAAACAAAATCTTATTCATTACCTATTAGTTCTTATAAACATAGTTTATCACAAGAAACAACGAATATTACAAAACAAGATCAAATCATTGATCATAAAGTTGAAAATAAATGGAATTGTTTCACATGTTTGATAAATAACAAAACAGATACACTCTATAGTAATAATCAAGAGTTTCATAATATTCAATCTAAAAATTCTACATTATCAGTATTATTTAATGGTAATATTAATAATGATGAAACAATTCAAGAGAATGATACTTTTATAAATTTAATAAAACGTAAATCACAAGTAACTGAATTTTTTAATATTTCTAATATGTTAATAGTAATATTAATCAAATTTATTTTAATTCATTTACCTAATGCATTAGTGATATTTGTATATACATTAACATTAATACAAAATAGAATATATGAATTGACTACTAATTATAATGATATTATAAGTAGTTCTACAAGTAATATCAAAGAAACTATAACAATTTTCAAAAATACAAATCAATCAATATTATTACCTTATACAGTAATGAAATATGTGAATCAATTACATAATACAAATACAATGATCCATATTGATGAAACATTTACAAATGTATTATGGATAAGGATTGTAATCATTTGTAATCTTTTAATATTGTGCTCATATTTATTGAATTTTTTAATATTTTGGACAATGTCAACACCATTTCGAACACAATTTATGAATTTATTCCGATGTAAATCATTGAGAAATGTCAATGTTAATGCTTAAACGAAATTGATCATTATGGCTTTGTTGATGCTTGTATTCATATCTATATATGGTAATATCAAAATTCTGTTGTAAAAAAGTGTTAGTTTATATAACAAGTGAATAGTGTACAAAAAAAATTATTTCAATCATCTAAGTAAACATCCTGTGTAAATATGTTGATTTATCGCTTTAATGTAGATGATCTTTTTTTTCTTTCAGTTATCATACTTTATATTAAAGAATTCAATTAATCAAGTCACTATTGATTCAATTTGTTTACTTATTGGAGAATATACGAGATTTCTAGGCAATATTATTCATAATTGAAACGTATTAGTTATATTTCCTTGATAAAGCTTGGACCAAATTGTTAGGAGAGATGTGGGGTTAACTTCAAATTCTTTCGTTAAGATTTTACAAATATATTCTTCACTGGTTGAAATCATGAGTCGATTGAAACTAGACCACCATGGAAAACCTGGAAGCACAGGACGGCCGTTTCGTCCTAGTACTACTCAGCAGTGCGCATTCACGATCCCGCAACCCGCGAGATTCCAAACCAGGACCTATCCGTCTTGCGCCAGGTGCTTAACCAACTAGACCACTGAGATGGGCGGCATCTAACGGTGTCGATGTCTAACTTCAACTAATTCACGAAGTTGCGCCTCCGTACACCATTGTCATTGGTGTGTTGATATCTCACAACAGACTTGGTTGGACTCCACTGGTAACGGCTTTTCACTAGAACTCTAGTAGTATCTCTTGAAGTCAGTCACTAGTGAGCAGATGATCATTATCAGAGGGGATTTTAAGGAGATTTCAGAAATTTCATTGGTAAAAATCATGACACAATTGAAGCTACATTTATACATTCTTCCTCTTTGATGTATTAGTATAACATTTAAAAGCTTAGTTTCCAAACTCAAAGTTTTCTAGACGAAAATTACTCTGGTATTCTAGAAGGGATTTTTTGGATATTATAGCAATTTCAATGGTTGTAATCATGAGTCAATTGAAGCTAGACCACCATGAAAAACCTGAAAGTACTAGACGACTGTTTTTTCTTATAGTGGAACTCCTTGTCAATGACCAGCGGAGTTCAACCGGGTTTGTTGTGAGATAGTGAATCAGTGAAGACATTGGTAGATGTGTCACTCGATTTCGTGGATTGGTTGAAGTTAGACATTAACACCATTGGATGCCGGCTCAGAGGTCTAGTGGTTAAGCACACGCGTGCAAGACTGATGGGATCTAGGTTCAAGTCCCGGGATCGTGAATGCGCACTGCTGAGGAGTTCCACAATAGGATGAAACGGCCGTCTTTGATGATCTAGCTTCAATTGACTCATGATTTCAACCATTAAAATTACTCTAATATTTGCTATTTTCTAACTAAAATAAAAGAAAGTTATTTGAACTATTTATTATGAAGTTTATATTCTGAGGAGCGAATCACACGTCATCACAAATTAACAGTAAGAAATAAGTGCTAATAATTAGCTGAGGATTAGTAACCAGTATTCATGAGGAATATCCCACCATGATCGTGAAACTATTTACAAAAACTTCAGACAAATAAGTAATTTAGTAATATGTAGTATTACGAAAAGATTGTTTCTAAATTTAAATGGTAGATTTCTGTTTATCGCATTATCCCTAATGAACACTTGAAGCTGAATATCAACCTAATGTACAGCACATTAGTCATTAGAGCTTAGCGTTGGTCAGATACATCTATTGACCAGTAGTTATTTCTTCTGAATTTGTAACAATGAATTAGCATATTCATCATTTAGTTTTTCATTTAAAAATATGAAAATAACTACCCTATTTCATATATTACATCAATGTGATCAGTTGTCTTTTAACAAAGATTATCTTTTCATTGAATAAGACATTCAATGAGACAATTGTCATAATATTGTACCGTTTAAATTATTTTTTGTTTAACTCAGCCGGTTAGATATGCTAAAAACAATTAAAACAAAAACGTGGCTTTCATAAACTTATTTATTAATAATTTAATCTGATATTAAAGTTATGTCTTCACAAAACGTTTCCCCCCATAATGGACTATTTCTGACACTAGATAGTAGTAGAAGATTGGTTCATGTTAAGTGGTTGCTAAAAGAATAGTTATTTTACCAGTTACATGAACATACTAAGAGATAAAATGAGTTTCGTCAAATGATTGGTATTAGTAGCTGTTATTTATAGTAGGATTATTTAATCATAATATTTATTTGAGCAGCATCAAATTGTTTTAACCAACTTTGAATCATGCTATCCACCAATCCGTGTGTACATCTGCCTATGCATTAATATTTGAAACATGACAATAAAAGCATAACTGTATTGTCGACATTATAAGCTTTAAATAAGCTATTGACTAATCATAAACACAAAACAGAAAAATTACAAAGAAATTTGAAAGTTTAAAATTTTTTCTAAGTAACCCAGGCTAGATAAATTTGTAGAGAATAAGTTTCTGAACGGTCGCAAAAAAAAGAAACACTTTCTTGGCACTGACTATTCACATATATGTATCAAGAAAACTCTCACTGAATTCATTTAGTTTAGTTGAAGTTAGTTGAATAATGTTCATAACACTAGTCATTATAGAAACTTTATGTTACATTCCGAAATTTGTATTAAGCACGAAGTTACAATATAGATATGAAATATTTGTGTATTGCGTGTAACCAATTTCATTTTTAAACATATAGAACACCAATTGTTTCATAAAGTAGTTTTTGAAAGAATGTTGTTACTGATATGATGGAAAGAAAAGTCAATTATCGATTGATTTACTCACTAAGCGTTTCCGACATAACAGTCAGAGACGACTAAATACAAAAAAGTAGCATTAAAAGAGCCAAGACAATAAGCATTCAAACGATAAGTTATAACAGTTACATCATAAGATGGCTAAAAGGTATAATAGATTAAGTTGTATTGCAGAATAATTTTAACAATCAATTTGACAAAGATTCATCAATAGATTCATTTCCAAGTTTCTTTAGTTCTGAATAAACGAAACAATTGAATCAATATTCTTTCGAAAAAGATAGTATTGTTGTTTTGTAAATTAGTAATTCTTTAAAAGAAAGATTACATTTTACGAGCGTGCTATATTCGAACGTTCATAAATCTTACCCCTGAAATAAAACTCCGTTTTTCTTCTTCTTCTTCTTACAAATATTTCTTTTTTTTCAGCTTCATAACAAGATTTCATTCATTTTAATATTATAATCAATAAAAGTATTATTTTAACACCATTGTACAATCAACTTTACATTTCATTCCTTAATACTGGACAAATAGATAGTTTAAATTCACTTGATGCTGTTTACTTGTATTTGCCATTGTTTTTTAGGACTGCAATTAATCAGTCTCTTGTTAACATATACGCATCCTGTGCAGACTGCCATAATATTGTCTTAATTCTTAAGCTATATAAGCAAAGATGGATTGTACCTAACAGTGGAATCCAGTATACGCATTTTGTTCTATTTAGGATTCATCAACTGGATGTACCTGAATCTCAGAGCTAATGTTCATCACCCATTCTACTTAGCTATTGAGTCCTGATAGTCATTTGCTTGTCCAATGGGGTGAAATTTAAATTCATTTGGCATTGTTTGTTTGAATCTTCCCATTGATGATTAGGGCTGCAATTGATCAATCTTTATTAGCATATTTGCATACTGTGTATGTGTTGCCTTGATATTACTGTAAATCACGAGCTTTACAAGCAAATCTGGATGATGGCTAGCAGTAGAATGCAGACCGCAGATTTTCTCCTATTTGAAACTCGTCAATTGGATGTACCTGCATCTCAGAATTGATGTTCATTTTGGGACTCGAACAAGTATTTTTCTTCAGAAAATTTAAAAAGGCTCTATTAAACTTCAATAAATAAATAAACCTTATAAAAATATTCAACATTGAACCGTATGAATGGTCGTAACATTCATCATTGAGATTATTATGTTGTATATATACAATTCTTAAGAAATTAGTTTCATTCATATAATTCATCAATATAGTTTTAATGAAATGTCAGTTTGATCGTTTAAAAAAAAGAAGAGAACAAACATGAAAACAACCATTTTACCTAAGTAACAACTATGCAATATACTAACATCATATATATCTCAATTATTGTCAGGCGATATCTGGTTAGAAATAATAATTAATTTATATGGTAACAAGTTGACTGATAATTAAAGTTTTAGTTTAAAAGCTTGAATAACTTTATTTTAAATTGTAGAATTGTAATGATGAACTATCAATAGTTTATAATGAATTCTGTTGTATCCCGATAAGAATAATGAATGGTAGTTTTTGGGATCTATTTATGAACCAATATTATGAGTATACTTATATTGTTTAATTGTTTTGTAACTAAACTGTTCATATTCATACCCCTCTTATTGTGAGCTTTGTTTTGACCTATGAACTATTATTATAGGTTTTACCATTCATGAATTATTCCTTGTCTGTTAATCGCTACCTCCTTCATTCACAGTTACATCTGGCTAATTCTTGTACAAATGTTGTTTCACATTTTACTGATACGTTATGATCGATTTGATTGGTAGATAAACTCAGTATGCTTGAAATATAATGATTCATATCTCAGAAACTGAGACTTGCGTTCTGGACTCAGCTGGCTGGGCTAGATAGGGAAGCAGGACCAATCAGTACTCTAGGTTGTTCTCACGTGTTTACGCGTCTTTAGTCCGATCGATAATACGCTGCCGTCTTATCTGCAGTCACAGTTATAACAATTCACTTAGTGTAATCATTGAACATGTAGCTAGATGGCTTCGAAATTAATTAGTATCAAATGATTTGATCAACGTAAGAAGTAGAAAATGATGTTCATCGATAGAGAAAATTGAGCACAAAATTGACATCAATACAGCTTTTAAAATGTTGTATAGAAATTGTCAAGGACGAATTCTCGAGTTCATAAATTCAAACTCTCCTTATGTGTACAAAAACAATTTATCGTAACCTTGAATTTACCTTGGTAATCCTTAAGTCATTCATTATATGACCTTTGTTAATTTTCATATAAAATGCCCTGACAATTATATGTGTATGACCAGATTGTTCGAAATGTATAGCGCAAATGCATCACATTTTTGAAATCAACTTCATCTTCTCATTGTTCTATCGAAATTTATAAAACGGATTAACTTAACTTTTTTTTATTATTTGTGCATCACACAAGAACAAAGTCATAATAGTAATACCTCATGT